GAAAGAACAACCCTACTCTAGAAAAATCAGCAGGTGTAATTTGCACTGTGGTGATATATGTGTTGAAAAGACTTGGAAACCCTGAAACATGAAACATTTGGAAGGGGGAGGTGAAAATTGTTGTTCATCTGCTGCTGCCTTCTTATTTACTGGGTCCACAAGCCATTAAAGGCTGTTGAGGAATGATGCTACCACTTGGGCCATCAGACTTCCGTTCTGATGCCCCGGTGATAACCTTCCCATCTCTCTTCTGTTTATTATCCACTGCCACAAACTGTCTATGCAGGATTTTGCCCTTGCTTATATAACTAGTACTTAATTCAACACCACAATTTCTGTAGAACCTTTTTCTTAAGACTGGAGGCACCAGGGAGAAGTGGGGATCTGATATTCTGGACATGATACCTTTTGATGAGAAATAGATCTCCTGAGGTTTCCTGCATTGTGCTCTGTCTTCCCATCTGCTTCCTTGAAACCCAGTAAAATAAGAATGGTCGGGAACGTGGATGGATGGATTCCTGTGTTTTGATCAACTATTTCCAATCAAATAGATTTATTCTGGTACATAAGGAAAAGAGAAATGGTCTGGCTGTTTCTTTTTAGTTTTCAAAAACAATCAAAATGTTCATTCAAAATTCTTGTCAGATTTCCCAGTGAGTCGTGTGTTTTACATTGAAGGGGGGGGGACCATTCCTGCCAGATATAGCTAGAGATTGGAAAAGTTCATTTCTTGGACTGCAACAGCCAGAATTTACCACCAAGATGTCATCCCCTGGTGTAGGAGTAACCATCCAGTGAGGACTCAGAACCTCCAGAAAGCTGACACACACACGCCTCGGGTCCTTTAAGAAAACACTGTGCAGGAGCATGCTTTGGCCAGCACAATGAAAAACTGGGGACGCAATCCTCCCCAGAAGAAGGGATATTTGTGGTGGAATCAGAATCAGATATTCTTCAAAGTCCCAAGTAGTGAGAATTTAAAAAGCTGACTGGCCCTGGCTAAGAGAAGGACAAGACCACAGTGCGTGTACCAGACCTTGGAAGTTAAGGTCTCTGCTTGCACCCTCTGATGCACTACAGGTATTGCCATTTCATGGGTAGGAAGCTGACAACATCTGCGTAAGAAAACTGTTTGCACCAGCAAGCACTGTGGTAAACAACATGTCCAAACCTAGTATGACTTGGCTCCTTGCATGCTTGACATTTGGCTTGATAATATTTGTGTCTATATGAAACCTTACTGGCCTAATCTTGGAGCCCCTAAAACTGTCTGGCATTTGCTGACAGACAGAAGGACACCAGCATGTCTGCATAAAAGTAACCTTTTCAGACCCTGACACAAGCTCCTAACTCACAATTGGAGCTTACACGTGAGAAACAAACTCCCCACTTCAACCCTTCTTCTCTTGTGTGCAGATGGCAATAGGGTTTGGTGATCAGGATGCAACAGGGGCTGCGAAAACACAGCCTTATCCCCTTCTTATGTGGTTCTAATTGCACAAATGCCTGAATAGAGTTTAAAATCCTATATTTGTTTGCATTACTAGTTACTTGGAGTGCTTTATGATAATTATATTCTTTTAATTTCCTCTTTTTTAGCATATAGTCCACATTGGCTTAGGCAGCCCGCAGATAATAGATTAATTAAACTTTATTATTTGGATGTGAGACTTAATTATCAGTTGGAATCTCTGAAGATATTTTATTCCAAACATTCAGCATATTTTAGTTATAGTGCTTATTTAAAAGGATTTGAATCAAATATATCCCCCATTTTAGATGTTTATTCTTAAATTTTCATTATTTTTCTCAGTTTATAAAAGGTACAATGAGAACTTCAAGTGCAATTCTCTTTCCAGAAAAAATAGAAGATCACCAGTAAGCTTAATGTAGGGATTTGACAAGTGCTTACAAAATTTATTAATTCTTGGCAGTTTCTCAAGTCACATTGTGCCAAGGTTTCTAATTGAGAATTCTTCTTGCATCAGTGATCTGTCCTAGCGTCCTGGTAAAGAGAGACCACAGTCTCGTTTTCTTTCTTTCTTTCTTTCTTTCTTTCTTTCTTTCTTTCTTTCTTTCTTTCTTCCTTCCTTCCTTCCTTCCTTCCTTCCTTCCTTGCTATACATTTTTCTGCACACGAAATTGCCAAATTCTGTGCAACTTAATGTGCCACAAAAGTTGCCATTCTGCAAAGAAATTGTAATACTCCTGTGCACCTTGGCATTTCTCCAGAAAAAAAATGACCATAAAATTTCCATGAATTTCACACAAGATTTCTCAGGGGGAAATCTCACTTCAAGGACATGTTTGGAGAGATGAGCATTTTGCTCAAATGTGGAACTAGGGATTGTACATGGTGAAATTTTTCATATTTCTTTTTTTTTTTTGAGTTCTTTCTGGGGTATCTCTTCCATTTTAATATTTTCCACGTATCAGACCTTTCATGTTACATGAAAGAGAAAGTCTCTTTTGGGGTTTCCATTCATATTTTGTCATTCATGTTTCCCAGAACTCTAGAATCCTTAAGGAACCCTTAAAAACTCTGCAAAAAAGCAAAGGCAAGGCAACAGAGAATCAATCTACTCCAAACCAGGCAACAGTAGATGAGGGGGGAAATCATCATCTGGACAACAAGCAAGAACTACCCCAATCTATGCCCAAACAACAACACCTGCACAGCCATTGGCACGCTGGTATAGTTATAAAGTCCACTCCTGCCACCCCCACACACACAACCAAAGAAGAAAGTAAATCAGTCCCTAACCGCCTCAAAAATATATAGCTTTAATAGAATAAATACAGCTTATATGAAACAATAACAATTTTTAAAGTTGGTCAAACAAAGAAAGCACACACATGCACACACAGAGGAAAAAATAGCACATGCACACATACACACACACAGTCCTCTCTCCCAAAGACCAAGAAAAGCAAGCAAGGAAACAAAGGGAACATGAGAACATTTCTCTCTCCCATCACTTAATACCTTCATTTCTCATATTTAAGTACAGCATGCAGCACTAGGCAGGTAGCAATCCAAGATGCAGGGCACCAGGAGTTCAGCACACGGTAATCCTATAACAAAGGAATCAAAGAGCACTTCTTTTTTACAGATGCAAAATCTCAACTCCTCCCCTAGATGTTCTGATTGGTTGCTGGCATCCCTTTCATCACTGTTGGATAAAAAATTTCTGAGGCTATTTGACAGCAGACAGCAAAGGGTGAAAGAGCACTGAAAGGTTACATAAAGGACAGAAAATGAAAGAAACAAAACTTTCAGGTATCCTTCTTTAGTCAAACCGAAACCATTTGGATTGGAAGCTATCTTTCAGAAATCACCAAAATAACATGAGTTGCACAAAAGAGCACCTCTTGGGGTCTTTCCTTGAGCTACAAAAGGCCAATTCCTAGTGAATGCTTTTGAATTCAAAAAATATGTGTAAATACATGGGACATGCTTTGACGGTGTCCCACGTATTTAGCCATTACACATTTAGAGTTATTTCAGGTTGGGGGAAAGTACCCCCTTGATACTTTTAATTAACAAAATACACAATTTTTTCATTATATAAGAATGCATTATTCAATTTCCAGTACAGTATCTTTATATATAGTACCCTGGAACTACCTACATGATGACTGTACGTCCGTGGTCAAAATATGTTATCAGCTCTGTATTAACATTCTAGGATCCAATAAACAGTGTCAGAAGAGGTACACACAGGAAGCAGTTCTAGATGAAACAAACTTTCATTGTTATGTACTGCTCTTCCTCAGGAGGTTGGCCCCCTCCCTTTTATTCTTACACTGACAGCTGAAGATACACCTTTTCAGGCAGGCTTTTAAAAATTATGACTGAATGCCATTTCTTAGGTAAGGAACTAAAATCGTTTTTAACACTTTACATGCTTCAATCATTCAGTGTATTTTCATCAATTTTGTAGTTCGTTTTTATTGTATAACTTACTGTATTTTTAATTCTATTATTTTTAATACTGTGAGTTGTCTTGAGTCCCTTTATCAGTTGAAAGGTGGTCTATAAATAAGACAAAATAATAAAATAAAATACTTTTAGATTACAACATGATTTTAAATCTCCCCGTATAGCAATTGCTATTCATCAGCAAGTTGAAGCCTGTTTAATACTGATCTCACAAAAAATGGTAGATTACATGTCATCTGTGGATCAGTTCAGTTTAGAAAGTTTGCCTCCCTATAATTACATTGTAATGTTTTTAGTATAATCTATTATTGATCTAAAACCATGTCTCTCTTTGATGTAGTTTACAGATACAAATAAAACTCTGGTCTACTCTAACACATAGATTGATAACAAGCAAATACCTACGGTGACTTCTTACATTACATGTCTTAGTAAGAAAAAAATAGGGCATAATAGCTGTACTTTATCTCTCTCTCTCTCTCTTTCTCTCTCTCTCTCTTTTCTTTTTTTGTTGCTTTCATTATTTGCAGCAAACTGTGCAAATTGTTGTTCTCCATTTTCATATAAATAGAAATGGCATGCACATGCACACACATATGTACGTATACTGGAGAGAGAGACAGCGAGTACTCTTGAATATTTTCTTTTCTGAATCTGAGCGATTGGTGCATTGATATTCTTCAGGTAACTAGCATTCACATGATGTACATATGAGAGAATAGAGGATAGCCATCCATTATTCTGCAGATGTTTAAAGGGTAAATCTTATTGCTCCTGAAGTTGTCAATGGAGGACCATCGTAATTTAGTTTTCATTGCTGCTTTTAGTATTCCTTAAGCTTTAACCATCTGTTAAGACACCTGAAGTGTTTTAATTATTACCCATTGATAAATACGTTTGAATGAAGTGTCATAAGTCAATTAAAACTGATATTGTAGAACCCGAATTTGACAGTTCAAAATTGGAAATCCTGATACATTGCAAGAGTATCTGGGTAGATGTAATTGAGAACCATAACTTCGTGGCCCTCAGTTATCAATTTCCTCTCCCCATACAGATCTTAATCTAATGGGTTGGATCCAAAGGTTCCCTTCTTCCAATGGAGGAAGCTTTCCTCTGACAGAGGAAGAGAATAAAGGTAATAAAGCTAAATCAATGTAATAACATTAACATGTCTCTGAGTTTCTTTAATCTTTTTTAAAGTAGAGTTAGCTATTCAAGAGTCTGTTGTCATCACTGATGCCATAACACTGTTTACATGAGAATCTTGTTCTAAAGTATGAGAAAGAAAAAGTTATCAAAGCCTTTGTTTCTACTCTCTCAAAAATCTCATGCCTTTAAAAAAAGTCTCCTTGTTATGTGCTGAACCTCTGCTAGTCTTGTCCCTAATCCATTTATTTCTAACTAACCAATACAAATGTTTATCCTTTCCCAACTCGTATAAAATCTTTGCCAGCAAGCATGTCTCCTGACAATAACTATGTTTTACCAATATGTACATCCTGAAGATAAATATATGTTTTTATTAAGTTTATCAGGATTTGGCCAACTTTCACCCAATTTGTCTGGAAATACAATATCCATTTCAGGGTCTAAATTGCCATCTAATCGTTTGCACCTAATTTAAAAATATACACTTAATTTAGTGACATTTCCTTTTCCCTTTTTAAAAACACTGTCCAGGTCACTGTATCAAAGTTCTTGTTTATTATTCATATGAAACATACTTTGCGATTAAAAGGTGCTTGCTTTGAACTGAACAGATTCTTTGAATTGCTGGATAGCTTGGTGGTTTGGGTATCTGGTTAAGAGTTCAGTTCCTTGCTGTGCCTCTCTCACAGGGACTGGACACAGTTTTAAGATTATTATTTATTATTTAAAACATTTTTAATGCAGGGAAATAATACCAATCAACATCCCCTATCCACAATATTACAAAAGCATTTTGGCTCCCTAAATATTATTCAGTTGTTTATCAAGAACTAGCTTTTTAAATGTATTATTCAATCTACCCCCATAAAACAATACACTAGGAATTTATATATAATGGCGGGGGGGGGCGGAGAATGGAAGAGGTAGAAAGGGGCAACATTCATGTTATTTGGAGTCCAAACCGTGAACTATTTCAAAACTGGAGATTTAGATGATCTGCCCACTTCTGCACTTTTCCTCAGCAGAATTGTTTCACACTTTTCTGATCCCATTTTTAATATATGGTTAATAGATAGGTAATAGTTAATAGAATTGAACTCTTTAGTTTGTTTCATATATGACTGAAAGGAGAAGAATTATAAAATAATTTAACAAGTCCAATAAAATCATATGCACAGTTCAATTTAAAAATTCCAGTCATGTCAGATAACTATTTCAATTACTTTAAATAATTTAGATTAATTATATTATTCCTTTCCAAACTCAAAAACTGAAAGTTCTACACTCTTCAGAGGTTATTACATTATACCCAAATAGATACAAATAGAAGTCCAAAGAAGGGACGAAAAGAATTAAATGTTACTTCATTGAATGTAAACAAGCAGAGTTCAGACAAGGTGAGAGAATCACTAAGTGCCCTCATTTTGTTTGTTTAGATCTATGTGTGCAAGCAGAAGTACAAACAAGAGAATAGCTAAATTCACTCTGGTGGCCACTTTGCATCCAAATAAACTGAAAAGAAAATCCCAAAGCAAGAGAATAACTGTGTGTATTCTTACTGCTTCTGTATATCAAAATAAATACAGAGTTTCAAATAAAATGAAGGGATAATTAACACTCATGTTATTTCCCAGTATTTTAAAAGACAACAATACTAGAAGAGGAAGAAAAAGATAAACTGAGTGAACACCTTTTAAATGTTTTAAATGACAAAATAAACAGAGCAGGCCCATATCAGGGAAAGCAGTACCTTCAATTATTTCACCCACCTGGTTCCCAAATAATTAACTCAACAAATATCTAAAATAAATAAAAGTTACATTAATTGTAAAATATTTGATGGTAACAGAAGCATGCTAGTACTGTACTGGTAAACAAGTAAAACATAAAAGTTTCAATAAAATATCAGATGGAATGAGGATTCACCTGGTTTAATTTCTAAAAGCAGCCAACCATTTGTTTAGAATGCAGGGCCTCTCTGATCCAGTTATGCTGTGCATATGCAGAACCACCCAGAGGACTATGTCACCACATATATAAATGCTGTAAGAAAATAAAATAAATTGCAGAAATAGAGATGAGTGAACTCTCTGCTTTGCTGACTTTTTAATTAACTTGGAAAAGATCCAAGTTCTTTTGTGAGAAATTGGGGGCGGGGAATACAGATACAGTGGTGCCTCACTTAACGATTACCTTGTTAAATGGCAAATCTGCTTTACGATGAAGTTCTTGCGATTGCTATTGCGATCGCAAAACGATGTTCCTATGGGGAAAATTCACTTAACGATGATCGGTTCCCTGCTTCGGGAACTGATTTTTCGCTAGACAACGATTTTAAAACAGCTGATTGGCGGCTCTAAAATGGCTAAAATGTGCAAAATGGCTCCCCGCTGTGCTTTAGGACGGATTCCTCGTTTTACAGGCACCGGAAAATGGCCGCCCTATGGAGGATCTTCGCAGAACAAGCAGGTTTTTTGCCCATTGGAATGCATTGAACCGGTTTTCAATGCATTTCAATGGGTTTTTTAATTTTGCTTGACGAGGATTTCGCTTAACAGCGATTTGAACGGAACGAATTATCCTCGTCAAGCGAGGCACCACTGTAATTTCAAAAGCAAACCAAGGGCCAGGAAACAGAAAATACTTCCTGAATTCACCCTTATTCTTCCAAATATCCTTACCTCTTCTACCACTCACCCTCTTTTGCTTTCACTAATTTGAAAAGCCATGACAAATGGGAAGAGGGAAAAATGGAAGTCTGTCCCTCCCTTATTTCTGTTATGCTAATACACAGCCAAGCAGGATATGGGGGAAAGATGTAGTCACAGTGTGAGACATTTTAGGGTGTAGTGCTTCTATGTTTGGACCTTATGAGGGCAGGTGGAACTGGTAAGGAGAGCAGAAGAGAAGCCAGAATTGCCCCACCACTCAGATTTAATCTAGATTTTAATCAGCATCTTGTAAACCTGCCTTTTCTGTCTCTTAGTTATTCAGAAACCCTGAATTTTCTTCTCTTAGTCCATCTCAGGAGAGTGTAACTGACAGCTTCATGCACAAGGTTTTGTGAATTTTGTTTTTTTGCTTGGACCTTTAGAAAACAGAGATTTTTTTATTTTGAATTTTGCCAGGACTGGTGTGAAGTTAATGTACCATATTTTTCTCTGTATAAGATGCCCCCATGTATAAGACACTTTTCTAACCCAAAATTTCTTTCTTTGCAGGAAAGTAGAGGGGGAAGGCAGGGATCAAAGTGCTTTGATTACTGCTTCCCCCTTCCACTTTCTTGCGAAGAAAGTGCTTTTCCCCTCCACTTTCTTTGCAAAAAGGTGCTTCACCCCTTCATTTTCTTTGCAAAAAGTGGAGAGGGAAAGCAGGGATCAAAGTGCTTTGATCCCTCCCCCCTCCTTACTACAATGTATAAAATGGCCCTCAATTTTTCCTCTAATTATTTTAGGAAAAAGTGTCATTTTATACATGGAAAAATACAGTAATCCACTAATCTGCACTTGTTTAAACTTAGATTTTTAATTTCAATTTATTATTTTGTCTCCCACCTGGCATTTCAAGAAATGTCTGTTCTGTTCTGAAACCTTTAATGGCATTTGCAAATTACAACAACACAAGCAAAATAGGAGAAGTAAAATTACACAAATTTCACAAATTAGGAGCGAGAAGCAGGGGACAATTTCAGAATTGCAGATAAGATACCTGAAACAGCAGTGGTCAGGGCATTACATTCATCACTCATGAAAATAGAAAGAATTGACTCAGAAGAATTGGAAAAATAGGAGATCCAAGGTTCAAGAAAAAAAATTCAGAGGTGGGAATGAGCAGGGCATTGAAACAGTATATGAACCAGGGTGTCAGGCGTCTCTTAAAAAAAAAAACACCAAAGTCTTTTTTCATGAGAGATATTGAGAAATCAACCGGCATGGGTGGCCCAAGGAAAAATATTAAAACGGGCTAACATAAAAGCTCTTCTTAGATGTGGGTTTACTAGGGAATGGAAATATTTGGGAGAATGATCCTGAGATGGAAAAAAAATCCAACAGAAAGAGGGGAACATAGAGGGTTACGGTTATTGCATAGGTAATGGAATTCGGTGTGACAGAGCTTGTCCTTGATTATGGAATAAGCCCTAGTGAGATTCATATCTACCAAAGATTCCAGGGATATGTGAAGAGAGAAGAGTTTTTTTTTTCAATAAGCTGGAACCAGGGAAAGGAGTAAGAATCACATAATAAATCATATATAAGGGATCCAGAATGTAAATTTTAAAAAAGACGGAGCCAAAATTTAAATGTGAGTAACCAGGCAGTTGTGGAAGGTAGGTGAATGCCCAATTCTAAAGAAATAGTAGAAAGCCAAATTAAGTTGGGAACTCCTAATATTCTGTGAAAACACATTGCTGAAACTTGATCACTATCCAAATTAACCAATTGTATCTATATAAGCACACCGTATACCAAGTGAGAAAGAATCTTAGACTGAAAAATCTGAATGGCTGCTGGAATATATCGGTTCTGGAAGAATAATGAAACTTAGAAATAGCTTTTAATTGGGGAGAAATTGAAGAGATGGCAGCTTTTTTATGAAATGTCCAGCTTAGTTTGTGATATGAAGACCCAGATACTTATAAGAGTGTACTTGACAGTAGGAAAAAGATCCTATTGTCCAAGGGGTAGGGGACCAAGAGAGGGAGAAACCAAAATTTGGGTTTTATTAGGGTTAATTGATAATTCCTTAAGATCACAGAAATCCTGAAATTTAAGTAAAGTGCGACGAAGACCTGATCTAGTATGAGACTTCAACACTGTATTGTCAGCATACAGGAGTATAGATAAGGGAACACCGTTAAGGGCTGGAGCCGACTGATTGCAAGGGGAAAGAAAAGAGGGAAGATCGGCTAAAAATAAATTAAATAATAAAGGGGCCAAAATGCAACCTTGGCGGACACCTTTGAAAATTGGAATTTTTTTTCGGTAA